CTTTACCCCCCCCCTCCACCTCCCCCTCCCGCCCCTCAAATATGCTGCGATAAATTTCCTTAAAATATAATTTGGAAGTCGTTTTTCTTTATTATTTACAGTAACGACTTTCAATTTAAGGTCACTTTAAATTTAAGGACTTTGGACCAAATTCAATCATTATTTTTTTTATCATTATTATTATTATTAACACTTGAACATGAGCACATAAAACATAATGTAGACATCATTTACTCTCTGTGACACTTTTCTACTAACATTTCTGCAACATTTTTAACCTGTGTCGTTATTTGACAGACACAACCACAGACACTGACTCGGTTAACGTCATAGCAGACACAGGCACAGACCCCTGCCCCATTTTAAACTGTGGATTATCTTTTTAGTTTTTTCGCAATATTTGCGAAAAAACAAAAAAATCAGATTCAACATCTGTGTCTTTATTTCTCCTTTCCATTAAATTTTGTATTGTGATTAAATATTTAATTTCACAATTTTCTCTTCTATTTCAAACACCACAATCATGGGAATCACCTGAGAATCGCAAAATTTCCACAAAAATCCTCCATAAATCTGAAGAACCGAGTTGAAAACATCAGTTTTTTCATGTTAAAAAAATATATGATTTAAACATCACTATTAAAACTCAGCGTTAACTGTACTTCAGTGGGAGGTGTGTGTGTGTGTGTGTGTGTGTGTGTGTGTGTGTGACAGGCTCTGATGATGTGCGCTGATTTACTTACGGGGAGCGGAGTGACTGATCTCCCCGCGGGGCATTTAAACCGCTGATGTAATAAATGGCACCGCTCACGGAGATCTCGTGAGCTCGTTTAGAGCTAATCTGCGGGAATTATCCCCCGTGGAGCCATCAGAAAAAAAAAAGTAAAAAACTCGGCCTCCGTTTTACGTACGTGCCATTTACGCGTGCGCTTTTACGCACGAGAAGCAGCCACGGAGCTGAGCTGCTGGTGGCAGATTAACCGGCCGTGCAGAAAAAAAAAACAAAATTGGGGGGTGGGGGGGGGGCGGCGCAAGCGCATTACAAGGGGGGGCCC